TTTTTGGTACCAGGGATCAAACTTGGGACTTTGTGCTTGTGAGGCAGGCAGCGGCACCACTAAGCTAAATCCCCGGCCCCTATGTTTTGACTTTTGACAACTGGATTATAATGTATCTCTCACAGATTTCTTTGGTTTCACCTTATTTAGGGTCCTTTTGCTTCTTAGACCCAGGTGTCCATTTTATTCCCCAGATTTGGGAACTTTTCAGCCATTATTTCTTTGACTGGCCTTTTATCCTTTGTATCTCTCTGCCTTCAGAAATTCCATATGCATAGCTGGGTCCTCTTCATGATGTCTCTTATGCTTTCTTCACTTACTTTCCTTTTTCTTATTTTTGCTTCTCTGACTGAATTATTTCCAGTGACCTATCTTTGAATTCACTGATATTTTCTTCTGATTGTCTTCTGTTGAACCCTCTAATAAATTTTTATTTAAATTATTGTGTTCTGCAGTTCCATGATATGGCACTCTTTTCATATATATATTCTACCTCTTTGTTGAAGTTTTCACTGTGTTAGTACATTGTTCTCTTTAGTGTTTGTTTTTTGGTACCGGAGATTGAACTCGGGTCCTTGCGCCTGCGCAGCAGGCAGCGAAACCACTGAGCTAAATCCCCGGCTGACACTGTCCTCTTTATCTCAGTATATTTCAGTCATTTTCAGTTGTCTGTCAGGTCAGTCATTTAACTGTTTCCTTAAGGTCACTTTCCGGAGCATCTTTTGTTTGGAACATCTTTGTCTCATATTTACTTTCCTCGACCGTCGGTGTTGTTGTCTGCCCATCACACAAAGTGGGCCTCTCCTCATCCTCACAAACTGCCCTTGCAGCAGAGAGATCCCTGTCAATCCGAGAGGAGCAGGCAGCCTGGATTTTGGTTTGGTCACTCTGTATTGAGCTAAGAAGAAGCTACAGTGTCTACCAGTCCATTCTTCTGGGGTTTTTTCTAATTTCTTGAATGTTTTCTAATAATTATTTTTCAGTGTATAAATTTCCCTCTAACTGTATTAGCTGTGTCTCAGAGATTTCATGTTTATCTTGGGTTTTTTTAACCTACTTTCTCATTGCCTTCTAATTTTGTTACAGTGTCCTTAGGTAGCACAGTCTGTAGAATACCAACACTTTGCACTATGTTAGAATTGCTTTGTAGTCAGTTTTTTAAATGACCTATGTGATAGAGAGAGAGCATATGTCCTCTCAGTTTGGTCGTTACAGCATATACATTGAATCTTGCCCTGTAACATATACACTCTATGATCTTAGGCAAGCAGCATATCCTCTCCTGACACACAGTTCATCACCAATAAAATGGGAAGATAGTGCCCATCTCAGAGTTGAGGGCCTGGCACCACCACACACTGTATGGTAGAAGTTAGTAGTTTCTTTTTTAGTCTTTAGGTTTCATTCATTAATCTCCAGATCTTCCTCGTCCTAGTTCATTCTGTCTGCTCAATGTATCCATTTGTGAGAGATCTGTATTAAAATCTCCCATATAATAATTAAGTCTCCCATTTCCCCCCACAGTTTTGAATGTTTTACCTTATGTTTTCAGGCTATACTGTTAGATGCCAACAGGGTCATTGGAACAAATGACTTTTTTTATCAAGCTAGATTAATATGTTCAACTTAGCCAGTTCGCATCTGTTGTGATTATATGTGTGCTTTCTAATTACTAACATTTCTTTGTAACCAAGTTTGAAACCTGTACCTAATGAGTCATACGTCACATAGTGTTGATATTATAGCATGCATGCTATTTTGATTTTTGTTGTCTCACTTTCACCATGCACTTTCTCCAGGTTTACACAGAACATGTATTTATAGCAGGTGATTCATAAAGCTGTTCTACCCAGGCCATGATACTTGCTTCTGGGCTCTAGGACAATTAACAATCACGAGACATTTTAATGCCCAAAATACTTTGGAGGCAGAGGTGGACTTTTAGCCTGCCGTCTACATGGAAATTGTGATTTGTCTGGTTACATCACTATTTTGAACCAAACCTGTGGGCCTTGTGACTGGTGGGTGTCAACCAGCTGGACTTCAGTTTCCAGTAACATAAAGACAAGATTCGGGCTGTGAAAAAATAGCTGTGCTAAAGGTTCTCAATTACTGGCTGTTGGATTTACAAGATTTTAAACTACATCTGAGAGCACCTGAACATTCGTTCATAGTCTAGGAAGGAAGAAAAATGCACCTATGACTACTACAAGTCAGATACACTTGTGTCTGTTCCATTTATTGCTGTGTTTCAAGCACAGTGCTTGGCAGAGGCAACAACAAATTTTTGTGAAATTTTAGGACCACAGAATTACGGAAACTTAATTAATGTTATGGAAACTTCAAGAGAAGAGAATGTAAGCACAATGCAAGAGAGTGTGAAGTCTTCCCAAAAAGTGACAATTGAATAGGACCTTGAAGGATATGTAGATCTGGAGATTAAAGGGTGCATCGTTAGGCTGATCAGAGAAACAAATGCTAGGAAAAAAATAGGAAATGAGGTTGATTTAGGAACTACCTGGCATCATTGTGGGAGCCAGTTAAAAAGTTTATGTTCAAGGGCTGGGGATTTAGCTCAGTGGTTCCAGCACCTGTTTCAAAAGTGCAAGGTCCCGAGTTCAATCCCTGGTACCAAAAAAAAAAAAAAAAAAAAGTTTATATTCAGCTAACTATTGCTTCTTTGAAAAAAATCAAAAAGGGAAAAAAGACTGCTGCTTCACTCCCATCTTCCCAATTTCATCCAAATCACGTGGCCCAGGAGTATGCAGGGCAGAAATCCTGGGAAGTACAGTTCAAGCTCAGTGGGGTTGACACAGAGCACATCCACCCCGCAGGGAGGAACAAGGGCCAAGCAGGATGGCTGTGAGAGGCAGGGTGGACTCCTGCTCTCTTGAAGACAATCGCTGCTGGGTGCCTAGACAGGTCCTCCAGGCACAGTGGCAGTGGGCTCCCCAATGCCCCCGAGCACTGGGATTGGGGGTCCCAGCTTTACATGCTATTCTGCTACATTTAAAGACAACACAGGGCCGGGGGTTTAGCTCAGTGGTTTCGCCGCCTGCTGCGCAGGCGCAAGGACCCGAGTTCGATCACCGGCACCAAAAAAAATAATAATAATAATAAAGACAACACAAATGATTCAAACAGGACTCGAACTTACAAATCAAAAGATACAAAGGGCTCTTTAGTAGGGTGGCGAAACATCCAAAGTCTGGGCTATAGCCATCTCTCAGTCCCTCCATCCTGCCCTGGGCAGGGGGACTTCTCATGTCAATGCCATCCGTCCCTGGCCACTCCCTCCTTGGGACATAAGGCAGGGTAGAGACAGTATGGGAGAGAACGGTCATCATGCTGTCCTGGAGTGACGCATGATACAACTTATTCATTTGGCGTTTACTAAGTGTTCCTCTGGCCACATACTGTCCTGGGCATCAGGGAAACAGGTGAACAGAGCAGAGTCCCTGCCCTCATAGTGATGGAAACAGGGAATTCAAAAGTAGACAAAATCAGGCTGGGATTGTACTTTGAGAAAAAGCAGAACAAGTGCAAGGGTGTAGTATTTTAGAAAAGGTGGTCAGAAAACAGTAATCCCACAGGAGACTACATTGAGTATTCCTTATGTACCTCATGCCATTCGAAGGGCTCTGCATGTAGTGGTTCATTTAATCCTCATGGTGACCTGAATAATTTTCCCAAGGTTACTTAGTTAATAAGTGGAGGAGCCGGGATTTGAACACAGGGAGCCTGTACCATGGCCCAAACGTCACACCAAGGAAGGTCTCATGGGTTGCAGGGACTAAAACTTGGGAGCAAAGAATGCAGATATCAGAGGGAAGGGGACTCCAGACAGGGGACAACACATGTGGAGTCCCTGAGGCAGGTGCATGCTCACGCCGTGGAGTTGTGGACGTGTCACAGTCTGAGAAGCTTATTAAACAGGAAAGGTGGTTGGATGTACATGTTTAAACATTGGGAGGAAGCTTGGAAGAGCAGAAGTAAATTTATTTGTCATAAGCATCTATGTGGCATCAGTAGCAATGTTGCATTTAATGCCATGAGGTTGGGTAACTGGATGAGACTCTAAGGAGAGAAAGAGAAAGGAAGGTCCAGTGCCCAAGGTCTAGGGTAGAAGCAGAGGGGGCTTTCGCAGAGGAGACCAAGAAGGAGTAGCTGGTGCAAGATGGGGCAGTAGATGTCATCCTTTCTCTTAACACTGTGCCCTTCTATAGATGTCACAGTACATGGAAAGGCACCAAACCAGTTTTGCTGCAGGACAAGCGGGGATAGGGCCCCGGGCGTACACCTTCCATTTCAGCTCCGCCCCTTCCCACCCATGGGTGCTGAGACACCTCCCAGGGCCTCGGGAACACGATCTGAAACCACAGACATAAGCTAACCTCTCTGTTTACAGTCGATGAATTGTTCCAGAAAAGTCAAGACCCTGGCTCGAGGCCATGCAACTAGTGATGAAAATCCCAGGTTGCAATTAGTTTTTATTTCCTATTTGACAACGAGCAAATTTGTTTCCAGCTTGTCTCATCATACTGTTTTCTGACAAATAGAAAAATCAAAATTAAAGAAGTCTTTTTCAACTTTATGATGCTGTGGAAAGGAAACAATGATAATATGAGCACATTCGATTGACTTGTACTTAGTCATTTGCATATTATCCTCCCACATCCCACTTCTCAATGCTGCTGGTCACTGGGCAAGTTCCAGGCTTCCTGGTTCTGTGTAATGAGATGGCACACACTACAACCTATAAAACGGTACAATCATCACCATCACCATTACAGCCCCTCACACTTACTGACCACTGGCCGTGGCCCAGTGCTGATCTCTAACCCTTACCCAGGCCCATGACAAGTCGGGCTCATCCAGGGCCACTTTCTGTGGGTTGCACACAGGACTGTATCATGCGATGGTTGAGTTCAAACCCTAGGGTAAGACTGCTTGATTGCATACCCCATTTCTACTCCGCACTGCTGGTGGGGCCCTGGCGTCACTTCATCTCCCCTGGCTTTTTTCACCAGCTGTGTGAGTTGCTCTGCAGACTGAAAATCAGAATACAAGCCCAAGAGCTGACACTGGTCACCAACCAGGCGCCTCATCCTCACAGGCCCCATCACCTGAGCCTGTGGGCTGGGGGATCTTTCTCCTCCTCTGCTCTCTGGTTTGAAGAAGCCAGGTGGGATGAGGGAACTGTACTTGATATCTCCTTGCCATTGTGCTTGCTTCAGGATCCATGCTCCAAGCTGGAAGAACCTTCTCGGACACTGCCCAGAGAAGACCGTCAACACAAGTTAGCAGCTGAAGAGGGACCCAGCAGTGATGAAGAAGAAAGGTACAAGTGGCAGCTGTTCTAGGGCTCTGATGGATGAGGGTTCAGATTTTGAAGGATGCATTCATTCATTCTTTCATTCATTCTTCATTTATTCATTTCCCAAATATTTATCACTGTCCTTTGCATCATGTGTAGGTAGGACACAGACATATCTTGTACATCTTCTGCACAGCTCTGGGCTTGACATAAACTTATGTAAATTGTTACCCCAACCCAGGGAGCTAATTTGATAGTTTAAGAACCTGAAGCTTAAAAAGGTTAATAATCCTGCCCAAGAATCTGGACTGGTCCAAAACCTTTGGTTCTCTGGGTAGGGGACATATGGGAGCTTTGTCACCCAGTGGAAATCTCCATCTATGTCGCCAATATTAGTCAGTGGTTGCTGCTATAACAAGCATCCTTAAAATATTAGTGATTTTCAGCACCTGAGTGCACTATCTTATGCTCAGCTCAGCCAGACTGTCCTGGGCTTTAGTATACTTGGCTTCTGGTTGAAGGTCAGGTGTTACTGTGCTGCCACAACCTAGAGCTCAGGTTTGTTCCCTGTGCCTTCCCCTTCTGGACCCAGGCTGAGGGATCAGCCCCCACCTGGGGCGTGTTGTTGGCATCATTGAGGAGCTCAGGACTGATGGAAATGTGCCATGCCTCTTACAGCTTGATACATTCAGAACTGCACTCTCCTGAACACCCACATTCCACAGGCCAGAGCAAGTCCTGGGACCCAAGCTGACTTCAATGGGCAGAGAATAATATGCCCTCCATGTTTTAGTCAGTGGGCTGCTTCAGTAAAATACCATAGACACAACGGTCAGCCCTCCTTTAGTAAGCACCCACTACAAGAAGTGTCTGGTAGTTTCTGCGGGTCTGAATGTGCATGTTGGGTTTCTTTTGGCAAGACCAGTAAGATGCACCTCACTCCACTAACCATGCTGAAGCTCCCTCCTCCTGGCAGAATGGCTGAGATGCTGTCAGGGTGGCAGTGGCATTCCTAGCCCTAGGATCTTTGGTGACTGTGATCTCTACATCTTCAAAGGACTGAAGTGCCCCTCGAGGAAGAACATGACCTACAACCTCCGCTGAGCTCTTCGCTGAAAGAGAAGACACCCGACACCCAGTGTCCACCGGAGGACTGGCAAAGCCAGAAGGCCCAACTGCAAGCCCAGGTAGAAGGACAAGCCTGGCGGGGATGTGCCCTGCATGGGGAGAGACCCCCCCACCACCACCATGGAGGACAGATCTCAGCTGGGGGAGGGAAGGGGGTCCCGGCCAAGGTGGGATTCTTGGGTTTCTTTATTCAAATCCTGCTGTGCTACTAAGCACCCACTATGAGGCATTGATGTTACACCAGTGAACAAGCTAGATAAATTCCTTGTATTTTATGTGTAAGGAATATGTGTATGTGTGTGACTCTGTGTGGTGTGTGTGTGTAAGGAATATATTCATGCATACCGAAGAGGTGGGAACAGACAGCATACAGTTAGCCCTTGGTGTCCTTGATTTCTACATCTGTGGATTTACCGCCTACAGATGGAGACTATTTGGGGGAAGAAAATTGCTAGCATTTGCATTGCATTAGGTATAGTAAGTCATGCAGAGAGGACTTGCTCAGGAGAATGCGTGTAGGTTGCGTGTGGTGCCCGGGGCCTCCGGAACGTCCCCCGCTGACCCAGAAGGGCAGTGTGTTCTATGTTTTAGCAGAGGAGGCGAGAACAGAGAGTAAATACCAGAGAGACGAAATGCGTGAATCACGCGGTCCTTCGGAAGGGGATCAGGGCTTCAGAGCGGGGTGGCAGGACAAGGCCTTGGGAAAGCGGAGCAGGAGGGTGTGACACCAGGTGGCCCCTGCTGCGTCCGGGCGCGTCGTCCCCTCCTTCCCCGCGCCCGGGGCTCCAGCTGGGGCGCCCTCTCTGGCCTTCCGGGCAGGTGTCCCAGCTGCAGCGAGCCCTGGAGCAGCGCGCCAACGCCCACCGCGCCGACCTGCGGGAGCTCAGGCAGCAGGCGGAGCAGGAGGCCGAGCAGCTGCGGCGCGAGCTCCAGGACGGCCTGCAGCAGAGCCAGGCGGCCCGCGCGCAGCTCGAGGCGGCGCACCAGCGAGCCCTGCGCGCGCTCGAGAAGGCCAAAGCCCAGGAGCTCAAGGTAGGCGACGCCCGGCAGCTACCAGCCTGAGCCGGGCCGCTCACGGAGCCTCTGGTCCGTATCGCCAGGGCCACAATCACCACACAAGATCAGGTCCTCGGCTTCTTTTCCCACACTAGAGAAGAGGCTCAGAGAGACCCTGTAACTTGCCGAAGGTCACACAGTAGTAAGGAGTAAAGCTGGGAAGCAGATTTCTTGGGCTGCAGAGCCCTTAGACAACACAAGAACGATTGCTTCCCTGCTCTTGACACTGTGGTCCACGCCCGAGGCTCAGCGCGCAGCTAAAGGCCCCCCCCCCCGCCGCCTCCCCGCGCGCGCGCCCGATCCGCAGGCAACACCCTAACGTTGGCTTGCAGTTTGCCAGGACTTAGCGCGCTCTTGCTATCATTTCCACAGCGCTCTGGTGGACAACAGACGCGCTGTTCATAGCCTCCTGGTTTTATACTTCCGAAATAGGGTCCTCCGCTGCGATGATCGGCTCCTAGAAAAAGTGCGCTCCTGATCGTCATACACGTGTGTGTTCCATTCCGATCACACACTACTTGTTTAGAAATAACGCCAAGAACCGTTTTTATATTTTATTTTCATATTGAGAACCAGCCAACTTTGCTTCCTCCTCGGTGTGTTTATACAAACTGCACTTCTTCCCCTAAACCGGAAATGGGTCCACCCAGCACCGTCTACCTGCTGGCCTGGCTTCGCTGATCCCCCAGTTCAGGGGAAACGTTCCCGCCCTTCCCAGTCGCAGAGGGGTCGGAGGCGGCTGTCACCGAGCTCCTGCTAAGGGGCTGGGGGATCTGTTCACTCCCTGTCGGGCTTCCTCAGGGCCCCTGCCTTCTGCAGCTCTTACTTCCTGCACCACCAAAGCCACCAGCGTGGCGTCTTCCAACTCTCTCTGCCTCCTTCTCTCCACCACCAGACCTTCCCTGAAGCCCCTCCTGACTCCGGGACTGTGGCCTTCCCACGTTAATCAGAGTACTCTCCCATCCCAAGATCTTTAACTCAATCTCATCTGCAAAGTCCCTTTGGCCAGGAAAGGTAACATAGTCAGTTCCCTGGAATTCAGATGCAAGCATTTCTTTCCCAACCACAGAAATCCAACAATCAGGTGCCTCCATCCACTCGTCCTGGGGAAGACGTCGATGCCCACTGCAGTGCTCCTGAGTGTTAAATCCAAAGCCACACTGTGTGTCTGTCTCCCTTGCTCCCTCTCTCCTGCACCTCCTGACACTAAATTCCCTTGGAAAGAATTCCAATTGGCCCACCTTGGAACAAGTGTCCACCATGGTTCAGTGAGCTGTGGGAGGAAGTGAGTCCACATGGTACAACATGGCTGCTATGGTCAGGTGATTGCTGGAGCATCCCAGGTAGCTTAGTCAGCTCTCCACAAGGGAGTGACAAGTGCCTGATTTCATGCCTACTTCTTCCTGCTTCTACCTACAGGCCACAGAGGAGCACTTGAAGAAGGAATCCACTCACAGCCTCCAGATCCAACACCAGGCACACCGGCTGGAGCTCCAGGCCCTGGAGGAAAAGGCTAGGCAGGAGCTGCAGGAGGAGCGGGAGAGGATGCAGGCACAGCAGGCACGGCTGCTAGGTATCCACCTGAGTGTGCACACAGGGTGGACCCAGCGGGACCAGGAGGGGCCCAGGGGCCTGGAGACACAGGGCCTAGAGTGACGGCCCGCTGTCGTGCCTCTCAGGGCACTGTGTGGGTTACACGAGATATTACACACTGAGTGCCCAGCACCCTCCCCGGCCCAGGGGACACTGATGCCCTTGTCATCACTGAGCATAACTCAGACCTCTGCGCCCGAGCAGGTGTGGCCAGGGCGGCCTCCACCTTTGCTTTCCACTGAAGAGTTCTACAGGCTGGGGAGCTGGGGCCCCTGCACGTCCTCTCCTGCCTGGGGGTCGCCATCCCCAGACGCATGCAGCCCCTCTGCCCTTTCCACATCTCGCCACTGGCACAGCCATCCCGGAAGTGCACAAGAGAGGCAGAGGTAGGAGGACCACCGGTGTGAGGCCAGTGTGAGCTACACAGGGCGTCCTAGGCGCCCTAGCTGCAGGATGAGACCCTGCCCCCCCCCGCCCCCGCCCTGAATGAACAGACCTAAGATCTCTGGGGCCAAAGCGCCTGGTGCGGAAGCCTGGCCCCAGCACGCACGAGCGACCTTGGGCAAGTCGCTTGACTGCTCTGTGCCTCCCACTTGTAAGGGTTTCATCTCCTTAAGAGTCCACACAGGCCGGGGGTGCATGCAGCTCAGTCTGGACAGCTGCCTCAGGGCCACAAGGCCCTGGGTTTGGTCCCCAGCACCCTCTTCCCCCTAAAAAACATCGACAGCAATTTCAAGACTTCCGACTGGAGACCCCCCAACCCTGGAAGAGAACCGGAGGCACTGGAGAATTCCTGTGCTTCCTTTGGTTTCCCGACTCCTCGCTGGGGACTTGGCCTGGGCTGCGGCTTCCAGCCCTCACCTGCTTCCATCCCAGCCGACTGGCAGTGGCCACACAGGCGGGGAGGCCTGGACCCCATGGCGCCACTCAGTAGCTGTCATCATAAAACGCAGGGGGGCTGGAGGGGGCTGGAGGGTGATGGGCGGATGAGAGCACTTCTTTCCGTGGTAGTGGGGAACCCACTGAACCCAGACCTTCACACAGCCATATACCCAGCCCTTTCGTACTTCTTATTTTGAGATATAAATTCCCCAGGCTGGAAACAAACTTAGGATCCTCCTGCCTCAGCCTCCCAGAGTGCTGGGATTATAGGCGTGCACCACCACACCCAGTAGAGAACACCTCTCAGTATTCAGCACATGTAGCGCTCAGTACTCCGGTGTTTCTGTTATCTTGCATAAATCTGGGGGACACAACGCAGAGCCTCCCGACCACCGAAGCCCATAGTCTTCCAGGACAGACTGCAGCCTTCACCTTGACCTTGTGCCTCTTCCTCCTCCAGAGTCCCTCAAGCAGGAGCTGTCGGAGCAGCGAGCGGCCTGCTCCGAGCACCAGAAGGACTTGGAGATGCTGCGCAGCGCGGGCAGAATGCAGGCTACCGTACTGTATCCAGGGGACAGCGAGGACCGCGAGGTCCCCTCGGAGGTCAGCGCCCTGCCCGCCTCCCCAGCCGCCCCATACAGGCCGGGCCCTGGTGTTAGGTCAAGCCCTGCCTGAAAGCCCCTCCTCGCGCAGGCTCCGTCTCTGACAGCACAAAGCAGTGGGAACCTTATTTATGGCTCAGGCCCTGGGGACAGCGCGTCTGGGTCCCTCCTCCGAGTCCGCAGGGGAAATCCCCAGACCCTCCGCAGGCCCGCTGCGCCCCAGACCGGGGCCGCCCCGTCATCGACCCGCACACTTTGCCCCGGCCTTTGCCCTGCCCGTCCCCGCTCCCTGCTAGCCAGGCGGCTCGGTGACCTCCCAACAGCCCAGCGTCGCGCAGGGCCCTCGGCTTTTCCATTCTGCCAGAGCCCAACATCTCTGCACAAAGCCTTCCGTGGCTCCTGCTGGAATGAGCTCCAGACGCCCCAACCCGGCACAGAGTCGCCCTTTGGGGGCTCTGGAGGTGGCACCGGCCGGGTGGGGAAGGCGCGGCCTGGGCGAAGCCAGGAGGAGTTGCTGGTTTGGACGCGAGCTCCCCGCCTGGCTAGCCGGCTTCCTTCAATTCTTTTCCGCCACTTCCCAAAGCGCGAAAACTTGAAGCTGCGCGGGCGCCCTTCAGCGGCCGCCCCGAGACCGACTCGGGCCCCAGGCCTAGCTGAGCGCCCGGCCCCGTCCTCGCCGCGGCCACTCCCGCCCTGCGCTCCCGCAAGCGCCTCCCTTTGCTGCTCCCTCTCCAGGACTGCGGCGGCCCGGGCGCGGCGGAGCCCGGAGCAGGCGAGGGCTGCGGGCTCCGCGAGGAGAACGCGCAGCTCCGGGACGCCGTAGTGCGGCTGCGCGCTGAGGCGGAGCAGCACCAGCAGGAGGCACGGCAGCTCCGCGAGCAGCGCAGGTGCGTCCTGCCGTTTCTCGGCGTCGGGCCTTTGGTCCCGGAAAAGTACCAGCACTCTGGGAATTCCAGATCTTAAAACAGCAGAGGAGTTGGGAGTGGGGGTGCATGCCTGGAATCCAAGCACTCTGGGAGGCTGAGACAAGAGGATCCCAAGTGCCAGCTCAGCCTGGGCTGTGTAGCGAGACTGTTTCAAAATACAAACTGTAAACAAGGGTTGAGGATTTAGCTCAGTGTGAAGGCCCCAGTACCATCCCCCACCAAAACCCCGAGGATTTGCCTCAGAATAAAAGAGGAAGTCCGATTTCCCTGCAAATCAGGAAGTTTATCGGACCTGGAAGCGAATCTAGGAGTCACCAGTATCTCCTCAAATCCAGCCTTTCAGAGAGAGTGGGTGGAAGGGTTGACAGTGCTGTGCACTCTTAACTAGCACTGTGAGGGTTGGTAAGTCACCTAACTCCTCCCACACTGTATCCTGTCTGTAAAGCCGGGTCTCACCCTCCGAGGCTGAGGGCTCCTATGGACTGTACGCAGGAAAGGGCTGCATGGTCTGGCTCTTGGTTAACTGTGGGAGTTAACAGCTTCCCAATCCTGAATTCAGTCTCATTTCTCCCTTGTTGGAAGGTTTTTACTACAAATTCAGTTTCTTACTAGCCATAGAACTTCTTGGGTTGTTTATTTCTTCTAGAATTAGCTTTAGCAACTTGTATCTTTCAAGGATTTTGTGCACTTCATCGAAGTTAAATGTCCCAGGCTTGAGCAAAAAGTTGCTCATGTTTTCTTCTTGTCATTTTAATGTCCAGAGGATCCCCTTCTCCCTGTTATTTGCCAGTTGTGTCTGTTGAACCCTGGTTTGAGCCTTGGTTGTTCTCGTTCATTTAATTTCACAACTATTCTATAAAACGAAGGGGAAAGTTTTGGGGGTAACCTGCCTCCCACTGCACAGTAGGTACAGGGAAGGCCAGGTGGGCAAGGCACTTCACCTCTCCAGGCCTGGTTCCAAGCAGGGGGGACAAAAGCGCCTTGCACAAAGGTTGGTGAGAGAATTAAGAGGTGACGTGTTTGGGACAATGCTGGGCACACAGCACTGACCCAAGAAATGTCTGCTGTCAGGGTTCTCACACTTTAGCTTGCATTGGAGCCGCCTGCAGGCTGGGGGTGTAGCTGAATGGCAGTGCACTTGCATACCATGTGCAAGGCCCTGGGTTTGATATTCCCAGCACCATAAATAAATAAGTAAGTAAATAAATAAATATCTCCAGGTACCTGGAAGCCTTGGATGCCCCTGACTAGATTCTACCCCTAGCATTTCTGGGTCAGTAGGGCTGGGTGGAGCCAGAGAATTAGTCCTAATTAGCAAATTAGCAGGAGTTAGAATCTGCATTCCTAACAGATTACCTCAAGCTGCTCCTGCAGTCTCCAGGGGATGCCTGGTCCCTTAACTTCCTTTTGCTGGAGGAAATGGGGCTGGGGGCGGGGACCGCCCCCAATTCCCACCCAAGCTCACCGGGCTGTGAAGTAGCTCAGGCCTTGACCTGGGCAGAAGCCGTCGCTCTCCGGAACAGCAGCCTGAACTCATCAGAGGGGCAGCCGGCAGCCCTGCTGCCTTAGCCACTCACTGTGTGATCCGGCCAAGTCCGGGGTAGCGCCCACTTTAGGTTACCCCCTGTCCCGAGTGAGGAAAGTGATGCTGCTTCTCCTGGGATAACCCTAAGATCGAACACAGACTCACATGTACGTACCTTCTGAGGGTGAGACACCGGGGGGTCATCTGTGGACCCCTTAGGACATCACCATGTTAAGAAAAATGACAGCTTGCGGTTGAACACATACTTTGCCATGGACTGCTCCAGACGTGTGTTATACAATTCCTCCTTGCAGCAGCCCTAAAGGGAGATACATCGTTAAACAGGGAGGGCATGGAGCAGGGGCAGCCTGCCCAAGGTCACAAGCTAGGAAGTGACGGAGAGACCATGCATTCAGACAGCCGGCCCCAAATCCTGCTCTCCTACCGCATCCCACCTGCCCGTCAGACGCTGGACTGGGACCTCCCAAGGCTCAGGGTCCCCGCGTCCGTAGCTCTGAGTCCAGCCTGCAGGTCTCTCCACCTGCTGCAGGGCGGTGTTGGGAGCTCCCCTCCAGGTCTGTTGTCCACCCTCCCCTGAAGGCCGCCCTCCTGCTCAGGCTTCTCCTACATGGGTGTGGGGGTGAAAGGGGCTGCGAAGGGGTCCCCAAGTGGGGTTCACCCACAACTTCCTTCCATGGGTGTCCTGGCCTTGGCTTCCTAACCTCCCCTGACCTGGGGTCTCCCAGGCCCGGCCGCTCAGCAGAGAAGAGTGAGCCTGGCTGTTTCTGTCCCCGCAGGTTGCTGGAGGAGGGTCACCAAGCCCAGAGGGCCAGAGAGGTGGAGACGCTCCGCCAGGAACACCAGAAGGAAATGCAGGCCGTGGTGGCGGACTTCAGTGGTGCCCAGGCCCGGCTCCAGGCCCGGCTTGCTGCCCTGGAGGCCGAGTGAGTGAGGCCTGGGCCTGGCTTGGCAGAGAGGCGCAGAGGCACCATCTATGAAGGTGGTCAGCTCTTCCCAGTGTCCCTGGGCTTCCCCAGCTTTCGTTAGGAGAGTCCTGAGTCCCAGGAGGCCTTGAGGTCCAGCTGGTGGGGGCCGGTTGGTCACTCGTCATTTTAGGAGGCTGGCGAGCACTGGGACCCTACAGGAATGAGCGGTTTGTGGTGTGGTTTACCCCTCATACTCCAAAGAAATCGGGAGAGCTGCTTTTTCGCGAATACTTAGCTGTTCTAGCACGCGCTACCACACTTCATCCTCACAAGATGGACACTGTTGTTCCGCCTGACAGTTAAAGCAAGCAAGGGTCCTTTGCCGGTGTACACACGCACTTATCTATTCACGCAACAAATTTTGTTAAGGACCCACTTGTGCCATATACTGTTCTAGGACTAGAGTTATACCAGGGAAAAAAAATCCCAAAATATCATAGTGCTTAGAATTCTAGATAAGGATTCAGACAACAAATAGACATTTAGCTTCATAGCAGGTGATGCATGTCCCAGAAGATAGGTAGGTTCGGAGTACAGAGAGTGGGACAGGCGGGTACGTCCCCTGAGGAGGGATGCTTAAGTACAATTCGACAAGAGCAAGGAACTGCAAGTCCAAAGGCCCTGGGGCCTGTTCCATGTGCCTGGAAGAGGTTTGTGTGGCCAATTCCAGAGTAAATGAGAGGAGGAGAGGTAGGAAGGGGGTAGATGGAGGAGCCCCTGCCCTGAAGGGGAAGGAGTTCCAATTATTCTGAGTACTGAGGAAGTACTGCAAGGCTTTGGGCAGGTGGCATGGCCTGGCTAACGTTTCACAAGGTCACCTGTGGTTGCTGAGAGATGATGAAGCCAGGGGCAGGGAGGGCCTGACAGGAGGCCCATTGGGGGCAGCCCGCCAGGTCCAGGCGGGTGAATCCATTTGCCCAGTGTGCAGCTCTGAGTGAATGTCAAGGTCACCTGGAGCGGGAAGTAGCAGGGACAGGCTTTACAGCCACCGCGCGGTGGGCACCGGCCCTGTGCCAGGCATAAACACCTCGTGGAGTCCTCACGACCACCCGGTCTGGTGCCAGGATAAAGAGGAAGGACTGAGTGGGGCTGGCGGATGAAATGTGCGCCCTAGGTCGCATAACTAGAAAGCAGCGGCGCCGTGGTCCCCCAGCCCGGCGCCTGGAGACCCTGCCCCCGCGCGGCCCGAAGATGCGCCAGAGCCCACCGAGCCTCGTGCCCCGCAGACCCCGCCTCCCGAAGCCCCGTGCACACGCGGAGCTGTTTCCGGGGCCCTGCAGCCGCGGGGGAGCTGGCAGAAGTCGGGAGTTGGGGTCTCGGGTCCCAAGCCAGAGTGCATGTCGCGCGCGTCCCCATCGCTCCCCTGGCCCCTCCCTGCCTCCGTCCGTCCGTGTTAACTCCCTGCCTGCCTGGGCAGACTGAAGGATTCCGGAGAGAAGCCGGGGAAGGCAGCGTCCAGGCCCGAGGACCTGCAGCTCCTAGGCCGCCTGCAGAGCCGCCTCAAGGAGCGCGAGGAGATCATCAAGCAGCTCACGGTGAGGCCCAGGGCGACCCGGCCCGTGCACCAGCCGGGCACTGCGGCAGTCGTCCCAGGGACAGCGTTTGCACCTGGCCCTTCTCTGAATGCCCCCAATTTTCCCTTGCAAACAATCCTTGTTTTTTTCTTTTATTTAAAAAAAAACTCACTAAAAAGCGTATGCGAGAAGATAGGCAAAGAAAAAACATTCTACTTCCAGGTCCAACAGCACTTGCTTGATGTTGACATTGGTTCAATTTTTTTAAAAACCTGGAGGATTTGAGAAAAATATAGAATGGTTTGCCTTTGAATTTTAGTAGAATCAATTTTGATTGACTTATTGATCTGTTAGTAAAAACGAGCACTTTTTTTTCTAGTTAGCAAAGCTACTTCTGAAACCCCTTGATGAGAAAGTTATTTTGACCACTGATGGAAAATTGTATGAGTAAGGAATTATTACTCACAAGTGTGAGAAAGGTACTGTGGTTGTGATTTAAAAAAAAATCCTTAACCTTTTAAAAATATATATTGAGGATTTTACCGATGAAATTATATGATGTGCTGTAAAAGTGAGGCTAGAGAAAAGGAAGATGACACACATAACCCAAATCGGCCACGCTGTTACAGTTGCTGAGATGGGAGAGGGATCAAACTAGCCTCGCTACCTTAGTGCATGTTAGAAAATATCTATGACACAAATATCTTTTAAAAAGTATGATAGGGGACCGGGGATTTAGCTCAGTGGCACTTCGCCTGCCTTGCAAGCACGAGGTCCTGAGTTCGATCCCTGGAACCAAAAAAAAAAAACAAACATGGTAAGGAACGCAAGAAGGTGCAATCTTTTGCATATCTGGGGGTTTTCTTTCTCTGCCTTAATCTTCAACTTTCTGCGTGAGAGTTTTTATTTGGGCTGCTGAGAACCCTTGGTCTTTCCCCCGTGTATTCATCAGCTCTCCCAGCTTGGGACAGAAGAGGCGACACCCATGACTTAAAGGAGGAGAGGTCTAACTTGGCTGGCAGTTGCAGCCCACAGCCAGCTGGTTCCAAGGCAGGGCATCATGGCAGGAGGATGAGTTGAGCAAAGTCGCTTAGTTCATGGGAAGGGCTTGGGAAACAGAGCAGGGGGCCAGAGACAGAGAAGAATGGACAGGGAACCCTCTGAGACACGCCCAAGGACAGGCGTTCCAGTCTGCTCGGTTTCTTCACGCACTGAAGCCGACTGGTCAGGATTACTGATCTCACCTTGGGAAGGCACCAGCTTCCCTTCCTGCACAGAAAGGGCTGGGAGGTCGGGGTCTTGCCGGGGCAAGGCTCCCCCAGAGTCAGTGGCTGGCAGCTTGATTGCCACCGCCCATCCCTCCCTCCCCGACTTCCCTTCTCTCCCATTCTGCCCTCCTCCCTTCAAGGGAGACCCAGGGCTGTGTGCCCAGGCGCATCTGGACTCAGTTGTGTTGTTTTCCAGGAGGAGAGGAGATTTCACTACGCAGCCTTCCCCAGTGCGGTGTCCCATCGGAATCGATCCTTTTCTTTCCACCCTCACCCGGGGTGTTTGACCCCCACCATGAAGGTAAATTGGTTCTGCTGCTTTCACTGCAGCATAGTCTGCTGGTTTCTTTCCTCCCAAAGGTAACTGCAGCTAGCTGATGGATGGGCTACTGTACACTCAGGGCAATAATCACCAGAGAAAAGACCCACAGGGAATCATCCACAGCACCATGCAGGCACTGTTTGTATCTGGGGAGGAAGATCATGTGTGGTTTTTATTTGCTATGGGCCTCGGTATTTTCCAAATTTTCTATAGTAAATATGGGCCACTATTAATAATAGTTGTACCTGGTGAAGGGGAAGAAGGAAGATGGTAGGAATCTCCCACTTCTTGACTGTATTTCTCTCTGGTATTTTTGGAGTTTATTAACAGATATCTTATTTCTATAACAAGATTTTAATAGCTTCAGAAAAGTCAGTATTTTTTATAGCCCAAAGGACAAAAAAACCTAAACTGACCTGAACTGATGAGCTCTCTTTTATGGTTTTTATTGTATTCCTCTTAGTATGCTAACACTTCAGTTTTACTCCAGAAATATTAATTCACTTGAAGACAGGCTGGTCCCAGCTCAGGTTAGAATTACCTGGCCTTGTACACCCTAGAAAAATTAAATTACAAAACATGTCTTTCCCCAAAAGTTTTAGAAAAGATATTTTGTGTGGACTGATGTATTTTTTAAAACAGAAAAAAAAGATTTAAAGGGCCAGGGATGTAGCAAAGAGACAGAGCACTTGCCTAGCTAGCATGCTTGAGGTCCTAGGTTTGACCCCCAACACCACAAAGAAATAAAAATTTATGAAAAAATTTAAAAAAATAATAGGACAGTGTATCAATACAATCATCCCCTCCTTTCCTGTATCATTTGGTTGGGAGGGACTTATTTACTTCCACAATCATGGTTGCTTCTGCTAGCACTAACAAAGCTTTCCTGTGATACAAACAGAAAAAGAAGATGGAGGAGGTGCCCAGCCGAGTGGTCAGCGTGCCCAACCTCGCCTCCTACGCCAAGAACTTTCTGAGTGGGGACCTGAGCTCCAGGATCAATGCCCCTCCGATCACTAAGTCACCCAGCTTGGACCCAAGCCCCAACTGTGGCCGGCCGTACAAACCCTCCCCGTCTCTAGGCACGAAAACCGCCACAAGGTAAGGGGTGGAAGCTGTTAATCCACTTCTCCTGGGACAGGAGAACAATTGGGGTCCTTTCTGGCACCTGCTAAATGCATTCGAGCAGATATAAAAAATAGCAAACCCAGTCCTGCCTTGGCCAGGTGACAGTCTAGCCAAACAGGAAGGCTGTATGAGAAGGGAGTTATGTCATTCTTTGGAAGGGGCCCTGTTTCTAGTACCCACTCCCAAAGGCCTTTTTTGGTTAGTTTTTCCCCCATGGATGCTGAGAACACCAGCATGGCTCACAGAGGAGGCGCCCACCTTGCCTGGCCTTGAGGTCTGAGTTAAAATCGGGGCCTCTTCTTTCCGGTCTGTGGCCTTGGGCGAGTCACGTGGCCCTCTTGCGTTCTGTGTATCCCACCTGGAAAATGAAGATAATACAGCATCTGCCTCGTCAGGCTGACGTGGGAGTAAGGGAATTAATCCGCAGGTCATGCTTCCTACAGGACTCAGTACAGAAGTGTTCCATATACTTTCACCACTATTAAGATTCTTGAGATTTCTTGTATTAGTTTGGAATTTTAATTAGCCTTCTAATCTGTGAGTTTGGTTGCATGTGCGTGTTGATTTCAGCTACAGCTTGCAACATGCTTCTCTTCCAGCCTTGTGCTGTTTTTCTTTTGTTTATTAGTTCATTCTCCTTCCTGTCCAGTCTTCCATTCTGAGGGCACGTTTTACATTCTGGGCTTAAAGTCTGCATTTCAGAAACGGCCCCTTCTAAAACAGTCCTGTCATCAGATGGGGTCCAAGGAGGCCCCTCAAAGAGGAGATGGGGACCTCACTGGCCCCTGCCCCAAAGTGGGTTCTTGACTGTCCATGGGGAAGAACTGCAGGACTCGTCAGTGAGCAGCACAGGCAGAATCACAGAAGCCACCTTCAGAAAGGAGGGTGGCGCTTGGCATGAGACGCATCATGGTCTGGGGCTGGGGGTATGGATGTGGTCTTGGGGGCTCCTGAAGACAATGGTCCAGATCGTGCATTTGGGCATGACCTAGGACAGTGATGGCGAACCTTTCGGCGCTTTCAATGGTAACAAAAAGCCCTCTGCAGTGCGTGTGCCATAGGTTCGCCACCGCTGATCTGGGCTGTGTCTTGATAGGTCACCCACTGGTGGGCTCGGTTAAAATGCAAACCATCTGCATGCATCTGAAGCTTAGAGATATGACATCAATTAATAGTGTTGTTTCCTAAGAGTTAGAAATCTGTGAAACTTGTGAATTTATAGTATAGAAATAAAAAACACAGATTTATTGTACCTTTAAGGCTCTTAGGAATTTAGAAGCCTTGAAAACAAAAAACAAAAAACCAGGCTTAGCATGAAGGCATCATAACCTTTGGTAACTGCTCCGGTTTTCTTTTTTCTTCTCCCTCTCCCTTTCTGTCTCCCTTCCTCTCTCCCTCTTCCTCTCTCTTTCAAGTAGTGGATTAAAGCGTGGGCTTCACACAGAGCTCAAGCTCAGCCCTTTTCATTGTTTAATTCTGAGCCGAGGTCTTGCCACATTGCCCAGGCTGGGCTCAGACTTTCAATCCTCCCGCTTCGGCCTCCTCCCAGAATGCTGGGATTGCAGATGTGTCATCACGCCTGGCTGCAAGCTTCGGTTTTCTTAAAAGCACAAGTTTAAAATGACAACTTCCTCGTCTCCTTTCTGCCTCTTTACTTCTTCTCTCCCACCTTAGACCTGTTAGAGGCCCTGCCTGCCGCCCCTCGCCTGCTGGGGTGGGCGGGGATGCAGGCGCCCAGAGTGGGGAGCTGGAAGGACCCCCTTGCCATCCTTCCCTTCTGCTTCACACTGTGGAAGCTGAGGCTGGAGCCCCAAACACACCCCTCTGTGAGCCAGGAGAGCCAGCTGCCATGCCGTATCTCATCACTGTGCGCCTCAGTTGAAAGCTACTTTGGTGCTTTAGGTGCAGCTTCACAAAGGCTGATGAAGAGCATTCCGCCGGGCGCATGGGATGTCTTGTTGCCCACTGTTTCTCCTTTTCAGCTTCTCAGGCTGACTTCATAGCCTCAGCTGAGATACTAAGGCCCCTTAGATATCTGAAGACAGCATAGTGTAATGCTGTGTGGATTGACTGGTTTTTTTTGGCCTTTTTAAATTGGGCTCATCTTATTTGTGCTGTGCCTGGAATAAATAATAAATGCTGCATCCTAGGCTTCATTATGGTGAACAGTGAGTCTTAAATAAAACAATGGAGAGCCAAACAATGGAGAAACCTCTGTTTTCAAAACAGGAAGATGCCTCGCCCTTGCTTCCCTTGTCCTTGCTCCCAGCTACTGATGGAGACCCCTGAGGTGCAGTGTCTTTTGAAAACTAAGGAGCCGTTCTGTTTCCCTGGAAAGATGATGCACTATTATGTTGTTTATTGGATAATTTCCAAAACTGTAAGAAACTTTCTTTTGTTTCTAGGGCACAAGATGGTGAAACAGTGCCACCCAAGGAACCCCCACAGAAGCAGGGCTCCCCACACCAGGAGTGGTTCACCAAGTACTTTTCCTTCTAAACCGACCTCGGGGATGCATCGCAAAGGGGACTTAGAAACATTCAAAACACAGAAGGAATGAATGACACCCAACCAAATAACTTGCTTGTCATATATATATGACAGCTAAGACAAATGTTGGCTTTAACATTTCATACTGTTTCATGGTGTCACCAGTTTGTTAAAAAAAATTCTTGATATTAAAGATAGAACAAACCAGTGTTATTAAAAAGCACCCATAGGAAAATGTTATGAATACTGTTGATGATGTGCGCACTGTATTTCTAGTGTCCATAACATCATACTCCACTTTGGGGGAGATCGGACTTTGTGACTTCCTTAGTTTATTTTAAAAGTAGTTTCATGTTTCCTTATGACCCAAGTCCTCTCCATCTGGAAAACTGTTTCTGTGTAAAATGATGTAATTCCTAAATGCACACCTAACCTCATTAGGAGAAGGAATAAGATAAAATCCATTATCAACAGAAAGGCCAGTTTCAAAAACCAAAACCCAAACCTCCTAGGAGTGGACTGCTGTGTGCTCTGGTTGAATGCTGTGACTCCCTAGGTCCAGGACAGGCAGATTCTAAGCAGGCTAACACCTACCTCAGAAGGGGCGGTGCCGCGCCCTGTCCCACTTCTGTTTCAGTGACTGTGTCAAGTTGGTCATCTGTGAGGATGGATTCTAGATGATTTGTTCTCTGAGGTCACAGTTCCACTGAACCTGTGGTCTTGGGTTTGGGCCATTTGCCTCACGATGTGTTGCTTCTGCACTGCATGGACTTTTTGTAGGTTCCCGGGCATTGGGAATGGCTGCTCATGGTGCTGACCTTGCGCTCCTCCAACCACAGAGCTGTCTTACCCTCTCCCAGAGCAATGCGATTTGACAAGACGAAATATACCTTGGAGTAGGCGAAATATCTTTTCAGGCCTTTGGTGCTGGCCCAGCAAGTGGCCCCAAAGCAGATGTTAATTCTATGCACTGAAAAAACTTTGCTCTTTTAATAAAATGTTAAACATCTGGGCAATAAAAATGGTTGTAACTTGCTTTTCCATACAAGGTAAAATTAGATGAAGACAGTTTGGAAGAAGGAAGTCCACATTAACTTTATCAGAGCATCTATAAATAAAAAGTAGCAGATTACATCACTGCAAGAAATGCAACTAAAATTGAAACCCACAAGTTAAAGGCAAATTTACTATCTAACCAAAACATCAATTAGATTTTTTTTTCCTTTTTTTGTGATGTTGGGGATTGAACCCAGAGCCTTGCACATGCTAGGGAAGCATTACATCCTCAGCCCTAGTGTAATTTTATTTATTTTTTTATTTTTAAAATTTTTTTAGTACCGGGGATCAAACTTGGGTCCTTGCGCTTGCACAGCAGGTGGGCAAAACTACTGAGCTAAATCCTCGGCCCTATTTTTTTTTTTTTAAATGCTGATTCTTGTCATCATAGCTGTAACACGCCAAAATGTACTTCAGTATCAAGTTTTTGTGTTTCTTTGCTTAAGAGTGAGTTTTGTTTTGTTTTGTTCAGGCTGTGCTTGTTTCTCTGATTCAACTCCTCTTCCTGCCTCACCCTCACACATGCTGGGATAATGGACATGTGCCAGTGAACCCTGTGAAGGTCTAATATAACACTACAGGTCATTAAGACTATACAGTGGGCCCTCGAGTTAGGACCGGCCTGACCTAGGAACTTGGGTCACGACCAGAATTTCAGTTTTAAGACTGAAGTCTTGAGTTATGAGCCAAATGTGGCCGCTTGTGCTTCCAGGTGGTCTCAGATACCCTTAAAGAGTTCTGAAAGGAACATCACAACATCTTTTCCTGTAGGGTTAATTGAGAAATCCTGGGCCAGTGTCTAAGGACACTGAGATCTGCCTGTACCCAGGAGACTTCGAAGGCTGTGTAGAGGAGCCTGACCCTTCAATTGACCAACATGAGTTTCAGAATTATAAGCAACGTGAGTTACAAGTGAATGAACTGAGTTGGTAAGTCAAGGGTCCACTGTACACTGTTTCTATAATGAAACAACATAGTGTATTTAGACTGTTCTAACAATACCATAGACAGGCTAATTTATCAAAAATAAGAGAAGTCCAACATCAGGATGCCAGTGGATCTGACTGTCTGATGAGACCCATTCCTCACAGACAGCACCTGTGAAGGGAGCTCACATGCAGAAGCAGCAAAGGAGCTTTCGAGATCCTCTTTTATAAGTGGAAGCCTCATGACTTCACTTCACGTTTCCATCTCTAGTAATACAGGCTGAATATCCCTTATATGAAGTGCTTAGAACTGGAAGTACTGTAGGTGTTGGGGTTTTATTAGAGGCTGAAGATGTAGCTCAGTAAGGCCCTGAGTTTAATCCCTTGCATGCAAAAAAAAATTTGAGGTCGTTTTTTTTCAGATTTTAGATTTATTTGCACACACGTATTTCTCAGAGATGAGACCCAAGTCTAAACATGAATGTCACTTATGTTTTGCATATCCTTTACATTTTTTTTTTTTTTTTTGGTACCAGGGATTGAACTCGGGACCTTGCTCTTTCGAGGCAGGTGGCAGAACCACTGAGCTAAATCCCCAGCCCTTGCATATCTTTTAAACACACAGCCTGCAGGCAAATTTCACACATTTTTGGTGCACCTGCATTTTGACCCATCAGGTGTAGAATCACTCACTTGCAGTCTGTGCTCAAAATTGTGAATTCAGGGGCGTAACTCTAACCCTAAATTATGAAGTGATTTTTGTCTTACTTTCCCACAAACCCAAAACAGCTCTGTTCAAAGCTGGAATCCTGAGCCTGCTTCTGTCCAGCAGAATAACGTGGCCGGGGTTAGGCCAGTTACTGGATATCAGGGTCAGCTCTGCAGCACTCCCTGCCTGCCCCAGGGGAAATGGCTGAGTGTAAGATAAAGGGGGAGAGGAAGCGGAACAGAGGAGCTGCTGCAGGTCTGACCTGTGATTGGGTGGGGGGTGACAAGAAGTGTGCCGAGGGTCTGACATGGGCGGCTCCGGGAAGTCTTGTGTAGCTGACAGGTTCCTAAGCAGGTTGCCCCTCAGAGTCCATGGTGACAGCAATGGCAGGGGCTCCCGAACCCCACACTCAGGACAGGCGTGGCCAACGTGGGAGGCTTTGCAACTGCACTTCTCACAGTGGCTCTGCTGAGGGGAGAGCTTGGCAGTGCTCCTTCATGGTCTCCAGATGGGCCCAGAACCAAAGGCTCAGCAAGGTCAACAGTTAGAGGCTGGGTAGTAGAGGAAAGAGAAAAGGGGCAACGTAGTGGCCAGCGACTTCACAAGTATCGTCAGGACAGCATGAGAGGGAGACCAGACAGGAGGAGGGGAGGAGAGGCACTAGGGACGGTGATGGGAAGGCGCCAATGGGAGGCAGCTCAAGGTCAGGGAAACATTTAGGGTGGGAGGCCAGCTGTGGGGATGACTGAGACTCACATGATGCAAGGCACAGAAAGCACCCAAGGGATTAAGTCTGGGAGAGGCCACAAGGCCCAGAACCCGGGTGGAAACTCGGGCCTCACAGAGGAGGCGTGGCAGCAGCTGGAAGGTGGGAGTCCCAGAGGATGGGGCGGGTGGATCGCCCCCGGGACAGGGCGGCCCAGCGATGCCATTTAAGAATAACAAGATGTTGGGCCGGGGATTTAGCTCAGTGGTTCCACCACCTGCTTCGCAAGCACAAGGTCCCCCAGTTCGATCCCCAGTACCCAAAAAAAACCAAAACAAAAAGAATAGCAAGATGTTTACAAACTGACAAGACAAAAATTTTATTTGACATGTAGGTTTTCAACTGAATAAAGAAATGGCAATAACATGAATATACCTAATTCAAAATATTTTTTATAAGCACCAAGCACAACAGTTTCCTTTTTTTCTAACCCCCTTTCAGTACCAGGGATGAAGCCCAGGGGCATTTGACCACTGGACTACACATTCAGCAGTTTTTTGAGACAGGGTCCTACTAAGTTGCCCTGGCTGGCCTTGAATTTGTGTTTAAAGCATTGTGGGGGTTGAGGATTGGTTGTATTGTTGGGGCAGGCGACGGGGTTAAAACTTATTGGCGAATAAGGATGGGGAGATAGTAGGGCCGGGCCAGGTGGCGAGTTTAGTTGCGCTTTCCCGGGTCGGCTAAGTTTTGGTTTTACTGAAGACGCGTGCCATTTTGGTACCAGACCTCCCTGCGGCCGACTAACACTCCTGAGTGGCCACGATCACAGACACGCACCACTGTGCCCCACTTTCCAATCTTGCCCTTTTTTCTTCTGTAATACTGGGAACTGGACCTTGGGCCTTTGCTGTGAGCCACACCCCTGGCCCTTTTTATTTTTTAAGACATTTCCTCACTAAGTCACTAATTTGCCCAAGCTGGACTCAAATTTGCAGCCCCCTGCCTCAGCCTCCCAGAGTGCTGGGATTACAGGCGTACCCAGCTCCAATCTTTGCACGCCTCTATTAGTGAAAGAGTGCCCCAGATTTAACCAGTCTACTTAGGGTCGTAATCAAGGAATTCAAAGCTGTCGAGCAGAGTGTGGGATGTCCAAGTTACAACCCTGTGCTGTGAGAGCTCCGTGTCACCTGACACCTTCTGATGAGGCCACGTGCGGGGCTCAGACGGTGTGAGCAGCTTACACACAGACAAAAGTGAGGAGTAAGCACTGCCCATAAGATGCCTTAATACATGAGCATGTACATTCAAGGGGGTAAGGCCTCATCTCATGGGCCTACAATGCAGGAAGGGGTAAAGGGACAGACCCAAGTCATTAAGACACAAGGAAGAGCCCCCATGCACAGGCAGCGGAGGAGAGAAGCCCTGTGCCCCAGGAATGCAGGGAAGGCAACGGGAGACTGTGTGGCCCAGGAGCTTGAGGTAGTGACAGTGCAGGGTGGAGAGGCCAACATAAGTCAAGCCCGTCCTACAGCCGAGCAGACTACTCAGAAGGCAACGGCGTGCTCGTGCTGGGCTAAGGGATGGAATCTAGTAAGAGATCGCGTGAAGGAGAGAGAGGAAGCCTGGACAACAAGAGGGCAACACCATCAGCGAGCTGACTGTGCAGCCTGTGGCTCTGCCCCAGCGCCCTAGTCCCCTGGAACCAAATCCATGAGCAAGAAACTTTTTACTGGAAACTCTCTGCTCCAAAGAAGTAAAGCAAAACAACACAAGCAAACAAAACTCAGAACTCAGAGAGATCAGGGAAGCTTTAACCACTCACACTCCACTGTGCCCTGGCTGGCACATGGACACAGGGGCCCCACTCCTGACACTGACAAATTCCTGAAGGTCACTGGTGACATTCAGCAAATCGCCCTCCTACTACATCCTCCTCAAAATGGGTAAACAAACACCACACAAATTAAGAACTGACCCAAACAAAAGCCATCATCAGCTGAAGGACCCTACTGAAACATTACTACACTAACCTAGCATGTCTTACTCTTTTTCTGACCAATTACAAAATACACACTGTACTGCTCTGAAAGCATTACAAACATCGCTGCAATAGATTCCTCTTCCTGTGGTAGTTCAAAGTCTGGAAATAGCAAATTTAGACTTTTCCACACACTGCCACCGCAGGGGAGTTACCATAAAAAGGCTACAAACTCTTTATTGCCTCCTTCTCAGACTACTGTAAGTTTTCCTTCCCCCTCAGATTATAACAATCGAACAAATGGAAACACAAAAATGAAGTCATACAAAAATAAGATAAAATACAAGAAAGAATCTGTGTCATCATACTGAGTCTAAACTGTACTAAAGACAAAAAACTTAACTCGGTCTACCAAAGCTACAGGCATTTTGTATTGTAAAGAAACTGGCAGCTCCTAAGAATAAGGGGGGAACGATAGCTGGCGACATAGAACCCACATCATCTTCTTGTCCAGGACAGAGTTCTTCCCAGATGCCGTGTCCACAAAGGGGATGTTCAATAAAGCTGTCTGCTGAGGCCATTGCACAGGCCAGGGCTCTCTCACGTCTGCTTCAGAGGCGCAGGGATATTGGCGGAGGCCTGCTCCAGGTAGGCCAAGGAGCCCTGAGGGATTTCCGTGGGCTTTTTGTGCTGCACGTTGATATCCTCCAGCACCTGCTGCCAATGCCTCAGCTTTGTCAAATGCTTCTGCACCAGCGCATCTTTCCGCTGCAATTCATTCCTTAGTTCTGAGACGTCCTACAGATGAAAGCGATGGAGTACATCAGAGCAAATCGGTGAGAAAGAATATAGTTGCTCATGAGTTAAGGGCACAAAGTAGTAAACTCAAAACCAAGAGAAAACATGAAGCTAAACTAAGCCCATTATTTGCTTGGGTCCACTATTTGTTTTTGTTTCTTTCTTCCCATTAAGTTTATTGGTACATTTTAGGTATAAAATACAGTTACATTCAGCATTGGGATCTTGTAACTTTACATGATGTATCCCGGTTCCCACTTTTTTCCCCTTCCCCTGCCCCCCTTGACCCCCTCCACCCTTCCCTATTTGCAAAGACTTTGTTTCCATTTTTTTTCTTTTCTTATATTTTTTCTTTTCCCTTCTTTCCTTTCCCCTACCCCTCCCACTTCCCCTGCTCCTTTAGACTTTT